ATTAATTCCAGACAGCATCTTTTTTCGACATGTGCTGGAAGTATCTTGTATGCTAGATCATGGGTCCAATCCTATGCAATGGCAGGAATGACAAGCGGCTAAGCAAGGAGAGCCGTACGATTGCCGTGTCCTTGGGGCCAATCTCTTCTTTTAATTTGGTGTGTCTGAAAGGTATTTTGATCACGTGGAAAAATACGAATGTCTTGGTCGATCCTTTTTATCACTTGCTTTTTTTGGAAACAAAACGAGCAAAATACACGACATTTGGGGCCATTTCAGTGTTAGCATACCAAGAAAAATCACAACATAGCATGTGACGCGCCGAATTACTAGGATTGCTGTAAGGGATCCATTGATTTGAGTGTCTACGAGGGCCGGGGGCGTGTTTGCTTGCAGCTACATCCTTGTTCAAAGGCTTGTTTTTATTCCGGAATGAAATATATATTTACACTAACTGAAATTAATTTTATTCCAGCGCTTATTGTTATGGATTTTTTTTCCTTTTTGAATAAAGAACCCTTTCGTCGTCGGTGTTGTTATTATTATTATTAGTATTATTATTATTAAACGAGCTAAAAATAGCCTTAGCTTCGTGTGGTATCCTGCATGGTTCTCTTAAACTAATCATTCGCTTGCCAAATCAATGCGATTATAAGCTGAAAAGTTCATTGATAAGTGCTACTACTAATATAGAATATACTATGCTATTTTTGGATGGATCTTTTTCTTCTCTCTTGAAATTATTTTTTTAATTATTATTATTAAACTTGATATCTGCTACTAAAACGAATATACTAGATTATTTTTGGTTGGATATTTTTTTTCTTAGTTAAATTTTTTTGATATTATTAATAAACTTGATATAATATGTTAAATTTTAAAATTACTAACCTGACTTTTTATCTTGTTCAAATTTCAAGTTAAATTGTGTGAGAGTTACCTTGTCAACCTAGCTAGTTCAAAAAATAATAATAAAAATAAAAATAATCTAAGTAAATCTAGGTTAACATGTCAATCATTTGATCTAATTCATGAATTTTACTAAGTTTAATTAACTTTTAATTTTATCTTATGATAAAAAATATAAAAACTCATTCAAAATCAAAGAATATTAAATGATAATTTTTATAAAAAAAAATCATTGAAAACTCAATATTAAATAATAATTAAAAAAACAAATGATAAAAAAAGAGCTAATATGTGCAAGCTTAAGGCAAGACCATTTCTTTTTCTTTATAGGGGATGAATCTTTTTTTTTTAATAAAAAATAACAAACAACATGTCACTTTCTAGGCACCAACCCAAGTTCCAACCATTACTAGGAGATTGAAAAATCAAAGAAGGATTTTTTTGCTTAAAATTTTATTTTCAAGCTATTTTAATTTAAAAACACTAAAATTCTTCCTAAACTACCTAATAACCCTAGAAGAATCCAAAAAAACCTAAAAAAAAATGAATAAAAAAAAACCTTACTCAATCTTTTTTCTCCAAAGATATTTAGAGATCAAAACTATTACCATCAATTTTTTTTTCTTGATTGAAACTCACTAGTATCAAGAACAATGAGTTTAATTACCAAAAAATGTTTTAATCAATGATTTTTTCTCTCCTTATTATTTTCATGCTACTTTATCCCTCCTCTCTTATGGTTAAAAATAGAAAAATAAATAAAATAAATTTTTAGACTAAAATAAAAATTACTAGGAATTTAGGAATAAACATTATTATATTTTATATTTTAGCTTTTTATATTTTAATTTGATATTTTTATTATAATCTCAAACCTGATTTTATATAATTACGCTCTAGAGTAATTTAGTTTGAATGAAACAAAGTTCAAAAAACCAAAAAACAAGTTGAAGATTTTCATTGTTCGAGCTCTATAAGAAAATTCAAATCTTTTAATTGTAATATATATATATATATATAGGGAGAATATGAATATAGTTGTAAGCATAAATTTTTTTTAACTAAATGATAAGATTTGAGTTTATCTCACGAGTGTGTAAACTTAAATAATACACGAAATATTAAGTTAATTTTTTATTTATAACAATTTATTTCATTTATTTTTAACGAGGCTGATAAATTATGCTTGATATGTGCATAAAGTCTTTTCTTTTTTTTTTTTATTTGTAATTTAAATGCAAATCCTAAAATAATTATGTCTTGTGGAGAATTTTATTTTTTTTAAATGCCTCTCTTTTATAGCACCCACACACTTCATTGCAAAGAAAAGGTTAAAGCACCAATATTTATCAGTATAAAATATTTCTAATTTATTGCAATAAAATATTTATAATTTAAAAAAAACATAGCACTTGACCGGATTTAGAGATGATAAATTATTCCTCTCTGTGATTATTATTTTTTAATAGCAGATACGAGCAAAGAAAACAATCAAATGCAGATACATCACTCAAATTTATCGGAGCCACCTGGATAATGTAGTTCCTCTTCTTTTTCCTGAAATCATTTCATGGTTGGATTTTGCAAGGCTAAACTATCTTAAACCCAGAGCCAAAAGCGAATCAGTGCTTCAACTTCAATTCTTTTTATCTGATTATAGCTCAAATCACGACAAAAAAGCCTTTTTGCCCGGGTTTCGGTTTCTTTGTTTTTTTTTTTTTTTTTCTGGTGATCTACTTGTAAAAAATAATATTTTAATTTTTTTATTTTTTTTTAAAAAATAATCCGTATTATTAAATTTCTATCAACAGATATGGAAGCATATAAGTCATGAAAAATAATAATAATTTTTTAAAAGATTATAATTTAATATTATTATTATTTTTTTTTTTATCGTCTTTGATATATTGACATTTAAATTATTTTTTAATATTTTTTTAAAATAATTTTTATGACAATCTTAAATCTTAAATAAATAGACACAAAACCTTGCTTCCGTCGATGATCTAGCATTCCCGTGTCATGAAAATGGAAACCAGTTTGTCGATAGCTCTTGAAATGCAAAACAAGTGACAAATGATGGTTATTTAACCTAGAATCACACGGAGGATCTATCTAAGATGTCAATTGGAAACCTAATTTGCATAGGTTTCTTAAAAAATAGGTGGTTAAATTTTAATAACTTAATAGCGATCAAATTTGATTTATTTATTTAAAATTAAAATAATATTATTTTAATTAATCAAATTAACATACTTGTAATATAAATTATTGATTATATCTTCATAATTTTATTTTAGAAGATATTAAAAAATATAATAACGGTTATTTTTTAAATTATTATTTATTAAAAGATATATTAAAATAATATTTTTTTAAATTATATTTTATATCGATACATAAAAATATAAAAAAATTAATTTAAAATAAAAAATTAGAAATACTGTTCGGAATCTAATTCCCAGGACACCTTAACCATGCTCCTTGTATCAAAAGGTAATGTAATTTTTTTCATTGAAGTTACAAATTTAAAAAGATTGCAACTATGATACAAAACTATAGTTTTAAGGCATCAACAATCACCATTATTTTTTATTGCACTTTTACAAATAATTATATTTTTTAATTGCACATTTAAATTAAATATTTTAAAATAATACATTTATAAGTTATACATTTTCATTTATTTTACGAACAATCACATGTTGTTATGTTAGTGGTTAATATATTTTCACAAATTTTTATTCTATTTTATGAGTCTTCCTATTATTCTGGAGTTTCAAAAAGTTATACGGATCCCCAACTTTTGAAAAGCAAAAGGACTAGTTTACCCCTATACAACTCGGTTATTTCGGCCATTTCGGGAATATGTTCGCGCGCACCGAACCGATATCTCCAGGATTTCCATTTAAAGGGTTGATTCTAATGGCTAAGCAATTTTTGGAGGGAAAATGGAGTTGCTTAAACTGTCGAAATTCAAGCTCCAGCTCCAAGCCCTAGCTATCGAGGTTGGAGGTCTCAGGGTCAGACTTTCTTCACCTTTTCATCTCTCGGTCTCCCTTTCTCTCTCTACTCTTTGCTGATTCTTTTGAATGTAACAACATCACATAGGAGAGAGAACAGTCGGCCACTGAGCAATGCCGAAATCTAATTCAAAAACAGAAGCAAACAGATGAGGAATACCGCAGACAGTTGCAGGAATTACAATCGGAGTTGGCTTCCTCCAATGAATTGCACCAAAAGCTCCAAAGGAAGGTTCAAGAATGTTGATTTTGATTTTGATTTTCTTGGCACTTTACGTGTTTGTAGGAACCACCAACCTCCTTAGCCACTGATCTAGGTCAGTTACCTTCAAAATGATAACGCCTTGCTCGAAGACAAGCACAAAGATTTGAAAGGAACAATACAAAGCCTGCTTCAATCGAAAGAAAGTTTTGTAGATTCCTACCAGGTTCGCTTTTTTTTTTTTCAAGCTTGTGTCATGTGTTTCTTCTCTAACTGTCGAGGCATTTATGATCAGGAATTAACCTGCGAAATGAAACGTTCGATTGAAGCCGGAGATAGAAAGCTCATTGTCCTATCAGAGAAGATAAACTCTCACCTGTCTTTATTTGATTCCATAGAAAGGGAGGCTTTGTCTATCAAGCAACTTGTGGATAAAGTGCAACTCCTTGTTAGTGAAAAAGAGGGAGTAGGCACGTAACTTTCAAAACAGTTACTTATTCATGTTGAATAGATTGTATGCAATGTGTGGATTCCCGGAATGGATGGGACCGTTTGTGATGTATTGAAACTTGTATTAGTGTTAAGAGTCCTGCTAACTTGTTTGCAAATTTCAGTGGCTGGCTTACGGAGCAAGATGGACAAGGTTTCTGCTTTTGAAAATGTATTTTTTGGTAAGCCCAAGTTCTCTTTTACCTTCCCTCATTTATAGTTTTGTGTTAGATTGTATGAAAATGTAAATTAGCATCTTCTCCGACCTTGTTATTGCTGATCATCATTCAAAAGAGTAATTGCTTGTAATTATTTCTTCCCTTGGCCAAACCAGAATCTGTCTATTTCCATCTAGTTGAAGGGTAAATTTAATCAAATTGCAATTGGATAGATTTTGCTATTACAACGATTGATGGACAGTAAAACATGTTACTCATAAGATGCGTGGATTTGGGCTAAGATGTTAAGATAGATGGACTGGACAGGAAAAGAGTTCATTCGTGGTAGACTGAGATTGATACCTATTCAGGATAAGTAAAGGGAAGACTGTTTGAATTGGTTTGGCCGTATGAAAGGTCAGGTTATGGATGCATGGTTAATCAAATTGGATCAATCGAGGTCAATAATGATATGATAAATAATGATTAGTGTCATACCAGCTTGCATAAAGATTAGCTCATTACAGAACTGGATGGGAGAGATAGATCCTTGACCAGTTCAGGATTGAGGATCATTGAAAGACATTAATTGAGTTGTTTCCTGTCAATGTTAAAACAATGCCAGTTGTGATCTGAGAATGAGAATGTACCAATTGTTTGCCAGTCGTGATCTGAGAATGAGAGCTTACCAACTGTTTGGCTATTGTTTAATTCTGAATAACATAGCTTTTCAAGATCCATATATAACTTGATTGAGCTAAATTCGCCTTGCTTTTCTTGCAGAAAGGATCCGCAACTTGGAAAATAGATTAAAAGGTGACGAGGATGAGTTCCGAAGAAAGGACAGAATCATTTCAGAGCTAGAACAGCAGCTGGAAGTGGCAAAACTTAATAACAGATGTCAAACTCAAATTGAAGAGATATCCATCTAGGCATTGAGTATCTCATTGTTCTGTTTTGCTGCTTTGGGCATTTTGCTGAATATATATTGTATGAGCTTCCTTAACCAGCCTCACCTTCAGAAAACTCTATTTGCAAAGGATGCAGTAATACAGAATCTAATTTCTGAGAAAGAGGTTGAAACTGTTGGCTGCTTATGTGAATTCTACTTGTTAATGCACATTGGTTTCTGAATGCAGTTTTTAATGCTTTATAATCAGGCATTGCACTGTGAAGTGGGGGGTTTAGCAATAATATTACAGAAGATTCAGGAGACTGTTGTAAACATGAATGAAGAGGTTAGAAAAATATTTTATTTTCTTCTTCGCTATATGATTCTCTGAACTTAAAGCTATCTCTGTTTCAATCCTATTTGTAAGAAGCTTTCCAATATTATAATGATTCCGTTTAACACTTTGTTGATGATATGAAATATCTCTTGAATCCATGTGACCTACTATTATTATGGCATATGGGTGAAGTGCTAATCTAAAATCTTACCATTCCCTATAAATTTGTATTTGTAGATTCGAACTGGCAACTTTGATTGTTGTATTGTTAAAATTGTTCAGCTGCTGAACTAAACTTGTTCTAGCATGCTCATCTCTACGTCAATCTTAAGTGAAAATGTGTTTTCTGCTACAATATCTCATCTCTTTTTTATTATGCACCTTGTGATGTCTCTAAAGACTTTTTTGGATAATATTGTATTTAAATTTTGGACTCCTTTGATTTTGTGTGCTTCTTTGGTTGAAATAAACTTCAATTTTACATCAGGATAAAAGGTTATTCTCCTCGCTACTAGAGTGCCAAGGAGACTGTGATAAGGTTGTGACAAAGGAAGATACTGACAGGTAATTGAACAAGATTCTTGACAACACAAGTGCCAAGCTATGGAATAATTTTCCTTGTTGATGTAATTAGCATGCTGTATTATGGAAGCTAAGAGTGTCTTAAGTAAAAACCCAGCAAAACCTTCTTTCCCTCTGCCGAAGAACTTGACAGTGTAGATTATTTATTTGATCATCGGAGTATACCCTTCTACAGCAGAGAGTTAAAAATATGATTATAGCTTTGGACAAGTCCAGGAGGAGTCTTACTCTTTCATGAAACTTTGATGTTGTATATTGAAGTATAGAGTCCTCGTGTTGAATGCCTAAAGAATGGGATAATGCATTAAACTTATACCTCTATTTGGAAGCTATTTCTTACTTGTAACAATGTTTATGATTTCCTGACTAGGATTGAAGACTTGGTTCAAAACAGTGGAGAGCCATCTCCCAACAAAGCTTCCAGGACTGGAACAGGAGAAAATCGAGGTTTCCCCTTCCTTCTCTGTATTGTTTTCTGCTATAGGGATTGGTCATGTGGTAATTGACATGTAAAAGGAATTTCATATTGTTACCTTATTCCTAGATCTGTAAGGTATAATCTGGGCATGGATTCTGAAAGAAGATTTAACATCTGGAGAAGATAAGCTAAACTTGTTAGTATAATGGCTGAAATTGATTGCTGTCAACGCAAGGTGGTTGGTACAGGATTTGTAAATTTGTTTGAATATTGTTCTTCCTCTCACATGTTTCCTTTTCAACTACAGATACTGGCTGAATTTGGTTGGTTACTTTTATACAAGAATTAAGGAACCAACTAATATAAGTTTTTATTTTTTATGAGAGACATGTATAATTATTGAGGAAGCACCCGTTTGCTTAGTTTATTAAAACACGCACAATGAATTATTAAAAAAAAAAAAGGTCAGTCAATGTCGTTTTGCTGTTCAATGATATTTTTGTCTCTCTTTTAGTAACTCGAAGAATTGGAGCCAGCATTTGAAATTTGAAATTTTGGACACGGTATTTGAAATTTGTAATGCCAGTCTTATAATTCCCAAACGTGGAAGCTATCTGCTGTTTATATTCAAAATCCATGTGAAAGATGAACTTTGACGATTCTGTATATGTTTATGTTCTGTGAAAGGATATGCAGTGCCCGTTGAAAATAGAAATTCATGTAATTCTTTCTCACATTAATGCCTACAGCTAGCATGAATTTTACCAACATTTTCATACATTTTCACTGAAAGGTTGGGGGCATAATTCAGATGGAAACATCTTGCAAGAGGACAATCGCTCTAACTCCAGCGTGGCAGAGGCAAGTGTTTGCTAGAAAATCAATAATTTTATGGACTAGTACCAAAGTGAAACAGCAACATAATTTCTTCTTCGTGATAACACTTTGGCAGCTGACATGTTCTCCCTTGCAGTCACCTTGCTCTGAACTTCACTCTGCAGCTAATTGTCCAAGCATTTCTGTACACAATGCCAAGGTATGAAATTCTTTTCTGTGCCGCAGTAAGCTTTTAGATGCTCTTAGGCTGAGATCCATTCTAGCTGTCCCATATTGGATATACTGTTCCTCCAACCAATTATTTGCATGGAAGAAATTTGGCTGGGATCTCTGTGATAAGACAACCTCTAAATCTGGTAATGTATGTTGATAGGTTAACTGCACCGCAGTAGCACACCACTTAGATTCTGAGTGTTCAACGACCCAGGCGGAGACCTCACAAGATCCATGTTAAGCATCACGGTTTTTCATTTTAGGGTATTTGCTCTGTAAGTGCGGTTGGCTGCTTTGTGAAAGCGTGTGCCTGTGTGTTTTCGTTTGGCTGTATCTGTATCTGATTGTTTATGCTTAAAGAAACTATAAAGTCCCAAAATCATCAAAGCACGCATTGCATCCTTCCGCATACTGTGTGCTGTTATCAAGTTGTTTTCCAGTTTTATGCTTGCCACAGTTGCCTTTATTCTGAAGTTGGCCATTGAGACTGCTATTCTTTTCTGGATGTAGATAAAACCTTGTTATAAATATATTTTTTGATCCCATATGAAAAATATAATATAAATTTGGATTATAAAATTAAATTATAAGTAAAATTTTAACTAATTATATATTCATCATTTTAGTCAAATAGTAAATAACAGTAAAATATAATTAATATAAAAATGAAAATTTTAGTATGGTTATAGCGGTGTTATGTAAATCAAATATTATTAACCATACTATAAAATACCAAATAATTTGAAGTGTAGAGTAGTTAAACAGGGGAGGGGGTGCCCCAAGTCTTCTATCGATTAGAAAAGAGAGCTTGAGGTAGAATAACATAACAATTTGTTTGTGGAATTTTAGTGGAATTCCATGGGAATGTAATTCAATATTTCTACATGGGTTCATTTTGACCAGCTATTTTTCTTATACTCTCTCTCGTTATATATATATATATATATAAAAAAAAAAACCTTAGTTTAGTAAGAATTAATGTATATTTTTTACATTATCATCACTTTGTACATCCGAAAATAATTTTTATACGAATATTTTAATTTAAGTGTGGATGTTTTGTTTAAAATTTAATTAGAAAAAAAGTAATTTTAATTAAGATTAATGAAAAAAATATATAAAAAAACATAGAGCATAAAGCGTATTTGAAGCGATTTGACGTAAAAAAAGTCAGGGAGACGGGGAAGCATTCAGAACTCTGCATAGACTTTATTTTTTTAACTTTTTTCTGTTCTTGAGAGACGTGGAAGCATGCCAGCCATAATTTTTCCTTCCTTTCCCATTCAACTCTAAGACTTAAAAAGTAATTTGGTTAGACTGTAGTGAACGCAGCCCATCTTGCTTCTTTTGGGCCAGCTTTGTGGTTTCTCATTCATGACTTGTCAGGACAAGAACAAGCCGAAATGTTCAGTTCCCGAAACCATTTCACACCCTTGTCGCCGAAATAGTTAGCTCAGGTTGATCATATCTCGGCTCTCTAGAAGCTGCCTGATGCCTCGCTGCTGCCCGCCATTGTTTTGGGCTGGTGGTTGCTTGCTCCCCATGTGTGATGCGATCCCTAGAACTGTGTTTCTGACTGTAAAAGTCAACTACATGAGGCAAAGCTGTTAATGATGTACAGTCAAATATTAGATCCAACTTCTATTTACTGTTTTTAATGTTTTCTCAAGGCAAAAGCTTTTTTATAAAGCACCAAAAACCCCTGCTAGTCAATAATAGAAGACTGCAGAGCATCCCCGCCGACTTCAGTTGGGTGTTGAGCTCCGGTGCTTCTTTGATTTGGTATTACAAGATAGATTAGCCCCTTTGGTTTTCTTTTCATCTCTTCAAGTAAAGGCTAAAGAAAATTAAATGCTAATCCAAGGTACAGCAAGTTTATCGTCTATTTTGGTGCATGAGCACGTGCATGTGACCCAATATTTAGGGTTGCACGTGATTTCAGGGCAATCAATGTGCAAAAACTTGACGAGAACAGCAAGCGGGTCTACCACTTGTCATGGCAGAGGTTTAATTTGGTGTCTTGCTTAAGCGGTGACGAACCATGATGAGAGATGCAACGGGCTCATTGAACTCCCCACTGTATGAAACTACCTTATCCTTTTGGGCATGGGGAAACACGCTACTCCGGCAACATGCATGGCAAACCGCGATGATCGAGGGAGGGGAAAAATAAGGGAAAGTAAACGATTTTTTTCTTCCCTAGTTTGAAATCATCTTATCAAACCTGACCTGGTTTTTATTTGGTTTTATATTAAACTAAATTAGAAATTGACGGGGTTAAAATCGATCAAAGTAACAAATTAATTTACAGCCTCTAGCTCTGGTAGGTCAAATTAAAACTTGAGTGAAATTTATTTATTTTTTTGAAAAGATACATGTTTTAATTAAAAAAAAATCTTATTTTGGATAGAACTTATTTAACATGTTTAACCCATAATCATTGCCTTGAACTAAGTCTTGGAGTAGGTTTAGTTTTATAACTAGCTATTTGACTCGTGTTTTATTATATGTTGGATAAAACATTTTTTAGTAAAAAAATAACTATATAGGTTTTTAACGTGTTCAAAAAAATATTAATCATAAATAAATAAAATTTATGTATATATTTAATTAAATATATTAAAAATTATTCATGCCAATAAATAAAAAAATAAGATTGTTAAGGTATCTATTTGACTGGTCTCGTTATGAGTCAAATAATTTTTTCTAATATAAAAAATAAAAATGTAGGTGTTATAAACATGTTTTTTAATATTGAGTAAGAAATATAATTATGGATAAAAAAATTGATGCTTCCGTACAATAAATTAAAATAAAAATAATATATTTTAATAAAAACATGGAAGATCTCAATTTAATTTCTAATGTAATTGAAAAATAGAACAATATTACAATGGCTATGATGAAATATTATTTTTTTTAGTTTTTTTATAATATTTTTTAAGAAAAAAGTATAAAAAAAATTACAAAAATAAATTATAAATGAATGAAGACAATTAAGAAAAATAATATAAATAAATTAAGCGTAGAATGATAAATATTCAAAGTGTAAAGAATAAAAAAAACATTTTTTTTCTAAAAAAAGATAAAAAAAATAAAAAAATACAAATGAATGAAAATAATAATAAAAATGGTGATAAATAAACCAAATAATAAATAATAAATATACAAAGCATAAAGAGAAAAAAAACAAAAAAGAATTATAAATTTGACATCATTATAGTAAAAGAAATAAAATTTATAAATTTGACATCATTATAGTAAAGAATTTATAATTAGATAATCTCTACCGTGATTTATCATTTCCTTCTGGTGTGTGTATATATATTTATATAATAATTTGCTTGAAATAACCATTATTTAAATAAATATTATTTTACTTTTTATAGATCTAATCGTCCCCCAAGAGGATGTCGAGGTTCCCAATCGAAACGTGCTCCCTTGTCTAGAGAATTAGGATGAGACTGGACCCTGGTAGTGGTAGGTTATCAAATTCCAGCTATCCCTCTGCGACTCGTACAAGTAACCTTAGAATATCTTATTATAAACATGATAATGTTTTGACATCATAATGTTTTATATAAGCTGGATTTTTAATACCTTTATACGAGCTTTTTTTATTATAAATCCTTAACATAATATATTTATTTATTTATTTTATTGTGAATTTCTAATATAATATCTTTATAAAAATAATTGGATTATAAATTCTACTATCAAGAAAAGTTTGTTATAATTAAATTTTTTTTTTTAAATATCATTTTTATTTATTCAAATCTTATTTGCTAAAAAATTAATACACTTATCAAACCTGACCTGGTTTTTATTTGGTTTTATATTAAACTAAATTAGAAATTGACGGGGTTAAAATCGATCAAAGTAACAAATTAATTTACAGCCTCTAGCTCTGGTAGGTCAAATTAAAACTTGAGTGAAATTTATTTATTTTTTAAAAAAAGATACATGTTTTAATTAAAAAAAATCTTATTTTGGATAGAAGTTATTTAACATGTTTAACCCATAATCCTTGGCTTGAACTAAATCTTGGAGTACGTTTAGTTTTATAATTAGCTATTTTATTCATGTTTCATTATATGTTGAATAATTGTTTTTTAGTGAAAAGATAATTATACAGGCTTTTCTAATGTGTTCAAAAAATTATTAATTATAAATAAAAAAATTTATGTATGTATTTAATTAAATATATTAAGAATTATTCATGTCAATAAATAAAAAAATAAAATTGTGAAGGCATTTATTTGACTCATCTTGTTGTGAGTTAAATAATTTTTTTCTAATATAAAAAAATGAACATGTAAGTGTTATAAACATGTTTTTTTAATATTGAGTAAGAAATATAATTGTGGATAAAAAAATTGATGCTTATGTACAATAAATTAAAATAAAAATTATATATTTTAATAAAAATATGGAAGATCTCAATTTAATTTCTAATGTAATTGAAAAATAGAACAATATTACAATAGTTAAGATGAAATATTATTTTTTAAGAAAAAGTATACAAAAATTACAAAAAAATTTATAAAAGAATGAAGACAATTAAGAAAAATGATATAAATAAATTAAGATGATAAATATTCAAAGTGTAAAGAATAAAAAAAACATTTTTTTTCTAAAAAAGATAAAGGAAAAAAAGAAAAAAAGAAAAATAATAATAAAAATGGTGAGCAATAAACCAAATAATAAATAATAAATATACAAAGCATAAAGAGAAAAAAAAAAAGAATTATAAATTTGACATAATTATAGTAAAAGAAATAAAATTTATAAATTTGACATCATTATAGTAAAGAATTTATAATTAGATAATCTCTACCGTGATTTATCATTTCCTTCTGGTGTGTGTATATATATTTATATAATAATTTGCTTGAAATAACCATTATTTAAATAAATATTATTTTACTTTTTATAGATCTAATCGTCCCCCAAGAGGATGTCGAGGTTCCCAATCGAAACGTGCTCCCTTGTCTAGAGAATTAGGATGAGACTGGACCCTGGTAGTGGTAGGTTATCAAATTCCAGCTATCCCTCTGCGACTCGTACAAGTAACCTTAGAATATCTTATTATAAACATGATAATGTTTTGACATCATAATGTTTTATATAAGCTGGATTTTTAATACCTTTATACGAGCTTTTTTTATTATAAATCCTTAACATAATATATTTATTTATTTATTTTATTGTGAATTTCTAATATAATATCTTTATAAAAATAATTGGATTATAAATTCTACTATCAAGAAAAGTTTGTTATAATTAAATTTTTTTAAAAAAATATTATTTTTATTTATCCAAATCTTATTTGCTAAAAAATTAATACAAATCGTTATATATAAAAATTATAAAATCTTATTAATACTGCATGGAAAAATATAAAATAAAAAAACTGTTCCCTTTAAATAAAAAGAAAATAAAAAAGGCAGATATCGCAATTTTGAATAGAAAATAAAATAAAATTTCTAAAGTGAGAAAAAAAGAAATGAAAATACTTCAGGAAAATTTATTTCTCAAAAACTTTCCTACACCCCCCTTCCCTACATTGAGTATTTATCAATCCTATGATCTCATTGGTTGTTAGTATTGATGTTTGGTTTGATTAACGGGTAGCAGACCCTTTGTAATTAATTAATTCTTTCATTAATAACATTAACATTAATTGCTAATTTTATGTTAATTAATTAATAATTTAAGATAGGAAACAAGAGCACTAACCAAAGACGTATTGGTTTTGGTCTACCAACTCTTAACAAATAAATTCTCACTTTTCATGTTGGTTTCATGTTGTGATGGAGTTTTATTTTAAAGTATTTTTAATTTTTAAAATAATAAAAAGTATTAAAAAATATAATTCAATATTTTTTAAAATAAAATATATTTTTCAAACGCATAGAAAACATGAACTAGCAAACCCCCCGAGCACTCACTATCAACCCAAGACAGAGGACGGGCACACGCTGGGCTAATTATGTTCACCCACGTGGCGAAATATTTAGAACCGGATCCCAGTTCCCATAATGGACGCCTTTGCAGGCCTGTGAAACTGCCGTCACTGTTTGCCCCGTCAACTCCTGCCTTTTTCCTTAATAAAGCAATACACATTGGTTTGAGTCCAAACAGTACCATTACCTGTAATTTTATTTACTAATTCATTTAAAAGAAAAGAAATTTAATTTCTGTGGAAATAAAAGATTTTTTTGTGAATAAATAATGGTTTGGTGGTTGCTTATAATTTTTTTGTGAGTAAATAATGGTTTGGTGGTTGCTTATAATGAATGCAGTGTAGTATATAATATTTTTGGAGTTATTTCTGCCCTGTTACGGAAGAAGAAGTGATCTCCTTCCCTTCATCTCTCTTTCCTTTTCCTCTGCTGATGATGATGCCGCTGTTGCTTTTTTGATTTTTTATAGTTGAAAGCCAGAGAAGAAAATAATATGGGGGCCTGTGTGTCAGCTCCAGAGGGGTGTGCTCGTTGCAGATTGAGTTCTTCAGAAAAGATAAAGTTACGCAGGAAAGGCAAGGAACATACTACTGTCAAGAGAAGATCAGTGCCGCCATGTAGAGATGACAGTTCTGATGGCCATGCTCCTCCGCTTCGTCTCCCTTCCTCCACCAACCCCACTTTTGAAGGTCCTCCTTCTTCTATGCCAACAACAACTTCTCTTCTTTTTCACTTCTTTTTGTATTTTGGTCTCATTTACCAGCATTTCACTGCTCATTTTATTTTTGGCTAAATTGTTTTGGCGGGCTCTCTCTCTAGTGATATGATGATTTCTTCGTCGCTTGTTGCATTTTGGGTTTGGAATTTGTATTTTCGTTTTGGAGTTTGGATTATTTTAGGTAATGATGTAGGGGGTGCATGGCTGATCTCTTTGCATGAAATGTTGGCAAGTGGTCATGTTCCTTTTCCTTCCTCCCCCAGCTTTATTTAAACTTGAAGCAAGGTTTCTGGCATATGTGGAAGTAATTCCTTGTTATTTTCTATTCTGATTTCATCTTTTAGGCACTACAGATGAATGCAAGCTCAATTACCTTAGGAGATGATATATGTTTTAGGCTCTCGAGCTGAATTCAACAAGGTTTATTACCTTGGGAAATAATAGACGTTTGAAATGTGATTTTTGGTTTTCCTAATTCTTTCGGTGATCAAGAGAATGTAGTTCATGAAGAGGATATCGACAATTTGAGTGGGTTTTATTGCCTAACCCAGGAGCTGCCTTTTGCTCTCTGATCTTCTTGACATTAGAAGAAGAAGGTTGACCAATGAGTTAAGCTTGAAACTTTGGAGCTTGATTGGTGTGCCATCCCTAGTTCAGATCTTGCCCGATGATTATTTGACTACATTGCAAATTGGCAGCTTCCCAATAGACCACTCCAGTGGTTTCTTTCTGATTATTACCATGTTCTATCTCCTTTCCTGTATGAGCTTGAGCGATGACTTTTTTGAAAAATGATTTGTTCTAACACAGAATGGACATTTCCCGATTCTCATTTTTCAAAAGAAGTCATTTTTCTTACAATATGATAATATTAATATTCAAGCTTGCTCACTTTTTGATTAGTTGAACATTCATTTCTGGTATCTGGTCCAATTCATGACGCGATGTCGTTATCTTTGCTCTGAAATCATGTCTGATTGCGGACATTGTTTCCTCCTTTTACATGCTGTAGATGCTGTTATCTTTGTTCTGAAATCGTTTATGATTGTGGACATTGTCTCCTCCTTTTACTTGCTTTAGACACGTGTCTGATTTATTAGACTGCAATTTGCAGCGGGAAATATCGAGGAGCCATGGTTTGATTCAGCTTCAAAATTTGAGTCTGATTGCGATGAAGATTTTGAAAGTTTTCCAGATGGTAAAATGAGGATGCTGATTTCTACTGTGCATAAGAATTTTGGTTATCTCATTCTTCTTTTGCCGATCAATCAGAGATTTGTTTTTGCTAATTATGGATGCATCATCTACAGATGTCTTATCTCTAAATGGCTTTGAAGGTGCATCACTGTCAAGTATTGCATCTGGCAGAGTTGCCAATCATGGCGACTATAATAATGTCAATATGCAAGATTCCTCCTTCATTGATCAGATGCAGCAGGCGGGGGATTTACTTGGAAATTCCACACATGGCCCTGTTAGTAACTTCACTAAACAATCAAATATTCAGGTCCTCCATTCAGATTATGTCGATTCCCTATCCAAATCTGATGGACTTTCAAATGAAGTAAAGCAACCGGTGTTCCTTGATGAAATCACCTCTGTGGATGAAAATGCTGGTAAGGAGGAAGGATTATTAGACATCTGTGGAACTATTCCAGGCAACTGCTTACCTTGTCTCGCCTCAGCTGTTCCATCGATTGAAAAGAGAAGATCGCTAAGCTCTAGTTCACCAAGTGCAAAGAAAAAGGGTGCCTTAAAACCCCCATTCAAGTGGAAGGAAGGGAATTCTAGCAACACTTTATGTAAGTTCTGTATCTGTCCACTTTTACAGTTGCAACATTATTTTGGAGGCAAATGAAAGTAATCTTCATTCGTTCTTGTCATTAAACTTGGTGAAACTCTATTGATCATATGAGAATGTGATTGTCATCGTTATAGATTGAATTATTTAGATTTAAGCTTCTGGGATCGAGGTTGGGTTGATGATTAAGCATATTTGAACTGTTTTTTGCTACTATGTCAACTTGATTGCTCACATAAGCTGCTTAAATTTTGAAAGCATCATGGTATCAAGCTGTGTTGGATATAATAAATGACAGATGCTGTGCCCGATAATTAGCTTTCACGTGTTTGGAGTTTCCAAAATACCATTTGCTCTCTATCTCTTTGGTCATTTGTTAGTTGAACAAGTGGTGTGAATCTTAGCTCACGGAGGGAGTTCTTACCTTACATTCCATCTCACTGCTAATCTTGTTAGCAAATAGTAGTATTTTGGAGAAGTGGTCTACTTTGACACAGCCCTAATGAAATTGCTTTCTACTGCTACTTGCCAAAAGTCAAAAGTATCGTTCTATCTTTGTAAAATTTTATTCGCATCTGATACTTTTCTAGTTATTATATGATTTCTGATTTGGTTTTGGTTTAACATGGACAATACTTCCAGCTGTATTTTATCATATAAGTTTGCAAACTTGTTTCTTTCCTTGCAATTGTTTTGGTTCTTTTAAAGGAACAAAGGCATTAGTGTTGATTCAACATGGCGTCTCATGATGAGCATTACAGCTTATACATATGAGTTTATGTCACAAAAATAGTTTCTTACCATATTCCCAGTCTACTTACCTGTGTTATATGTGTAACCTGATTTGATGATATGTTGACAATTTTGTTCTACATGCTTTCAATCATTGAAAATTCACCTGACAAGTTCATTTATTTCTAAAAAATGCATTTCCATCAAACTCCAGCTTTGGGCTGTGATTTACGATTGCTTTCAATTGCTGGGATTTAGAATTTAGGATTTGATGTTAGAGGTACATTACTTGAGAAGATGCAAACTAGAACTGCAAAAAGCGTGCATATGCTATAGGCGTTTGTTTTCATGGGGAAAAAGTAAATCACTTAGTCTAGTTATGAAGCTCCCAATGCTTATTATGTGTGGTTGAGGTTTTTACCAAAGGAATTTTACAAATCGATGCCCCTTCCAGTTCATGTTAGTAGGGGCAGTGTATGGTGTAGTACATCAAAAAGCACGTTTGCCCTTTGTAAAAGTAGTGTGTACATGTAAAATTACCTCTTTATTTGTTTTGTTCTGTATGGTTTCAGTTTCTTCAAAGACGATTCTGCACAGACCACAAGCAGGGTCCCAAGTACCCTTTTGCCCAGTGGAGAAAAAAATGCTTGATTGTTGGTCGCAAATCGGGCCATGTAGTTTTAAAATTCGAGGAAAGAATTATTTCAGGTGAAGCTAAGCTGATGGAATTGAGTTGGTTTTTTTCATACACAGCTCCAAATGCATGTGTGAAAATATAATTTTAACGCAAAGATAGTAGTTACATCTTTTTTTATCAGTCAATCATTGTTTTTCATTTATTGTAGACTTGATAAAGTGTAATATCACAGTATTTACGATCCTTTGTCAATCAATATTCATTCATTTAAACTTGACAGAGTGTGATCTCACACAATTCCTACTGAAAATATCTTTTTTCTTTCTTCCCCTCGTGTCAGGGACAAGAAGAAGGAATTTGCTCCTAACTGTGCTGCATACTATCCATTTGGTGTTGATGTGTTCCTGTCTCCGCGAAAAATTGATCATATAGCTCGGTTTGTGAACCTCCCTGCTATTAACTCTGCCGGGAAGGTCCCACCTATCCTCGTTGTAAATGTTCAGGTATTTTCATTTTTTCTGTAAGCACATGGATGCAGTTATTCAGGATTTCCTGACAGTTGTGGTTAGATGAGGATGAAAATATCCTTTTCTTTTTGGGTTTCGTAGTTTGCTTGTGTTATGTATTTATGCTGACTCACTGTGGGTTCTACAGATTCCACTGTATCCTGCCGCAATTTTTCAGAGTGAAACAGATGGAGAAGGAGCAAATTTTGTTTTGTACTTTAAGCTTTCTGATAGTTACTCTAAGGAACTTCCAACCCACTTTCAAGAAAGCATCAGAGTAAGATGATCATTCTTTTTTAATATCTTATCATAAATTGCCACTTCAGAGCATTTATAAACCTCTCTGCCGCATGTTATCTATGGCAATGATGCTGAAAAAGGGAAAAAGAATGAGGCTTTTCTGCTTGTGTGCTGTTTCCTTATTTTAATTTGTCAACCTTTATAAAATGTTAATTCTAGGCATGTTGCATTCTTTTTTTGCACTGCCTTTTGTCTCATGTTTTCTTCATTATTAAATGTTTTAAATTCCTGTTCTTATTGTTTCATATCCCCATACTTCTTGAAACAGCGATTAATTGATGATGAAGTTGAAAGGGTCAAGGGTTTTCGTGTAGATACAACTATACCTTTCCGAGAAAGATTGAAGATATTGGGCCGTGTTGCAAACGTAGAAGATCTTCATTTAAGTGCTGCAGAAAGGAAGCTTATGCAGGCTTACAATGAGAAACCTGTTCTTTCACGTCCGCAACATGAGTTCTACTTGGTATGTTGTTGTCAAACAACTTATTCCGGTCTTCTAACTCCATTCTACTCGTATCCAATTTTACATTACTTTTAATTCTTGATTATCAAATACAATTTCCAGTTGTCTTTTGCTGCCTATCTTGATTTATGTCAAGGCAAAAACCATGCTGCTGGTACTTGATAGTCATTGACACCTTCATTTTCAGAAAACAAAAATGATTTATTACTGTATTCTGGTGTGTGCGGGCCATCCCTGCGCATGCCTTAGTTGCTATTCTGCTACTTTGTTTAGAAGTGGTCTTCTGTGTCAGGATGTAATACAGTCTAAGGCTTCGTTTGGTAGCATGGCCAACCACATGGTTGGCCGCGCTCCCAAAAGGGCACTAAGTAGATGGTTTTATAATTCTTTCCATCTTAAATAGCAGGGTTTCTTTTGTTCCCCTTTACAGGGACATGATTACTTCGAGATTGACATCGACATGCACAGGTTCAGTTATATCTCTAGGAAAGGTTTTGAAGCATTCCTAGACAGGCTTAAAATTTGTGTGTTGGATGTTGGACTCACAATTCAGGCAAGTGTATCTTCCTTTTTAACGAGTATCCATATATTATTTCTCAAGAATAAAAAAACTGAAAAACATTTAGATGTAGAATCTATCACCTATTTTCTATGGCGGTTTGTGGAGTTGATATTCATGAAGAGTTTGTATTCTCATTTTTACCAGGGGAACAAAGTCGAAGAGTTGCCGGAGCAGATTTTGTGTTGTATTAGATTAAACGGAATTGATTACATGAATTACCACCAGTTGTTTAGTGAAGAGCCTATTGATTCTTCAAGTGGCTGAACAATGTGAGGCTTCTGATCTGATAAAGGGTAATCTTGCAATATAACTGTTTCATTGTCTAGATGATCAGAGAGATGTATACTAATTTGGTGGAGTCATAACCAAATCAATTCAGACAATATACTTGTAGGCATGAGCTTAAACGTGCCCACAATTTTTTTGACATTCTGAAGGGAAACAATTTAAAGGAAATCTTTTCTTGAACCTTTGATGTCTTGAGGATTCTTGTAATGCCAACCCACTGGTATTCTGCCGGTGAAGTGGTTTTCCTACAACTTCAGCTTCTCTGGCGAGCTCAGATTTGCTAAAGCCTCGGCAAGTTGAATCCTAACTTACTGAAGTTCAAGTCAAATGTCTGCAATGGATATCAATTCACCCGTAGTTGTTCCTCCTTACCCTTTAACAAAATCACGGGACAAGTTGTCTACGCCACCTCTGCCATTACTGTAGAGAATAACTTACATGGTAACAATCAAGTCATGTTCAATTCCGAAACTTTTATCTTGAGATGTAGGGTGCGCCAGGCCAATGCAGTGGTGCAACGCTGAGGCGACGCTCGAGAACCCCAGCAGCAAGCTGCTGTTATGGACCCTCACCCTAGAAAAATTAATTTAATATCGTGTGGGTCATTGACCCACGTATCAGATATTAAACTGATAAGAACAGATACTACACTTGATCTTAGCCAAAAGGCCGAGAAAGGTATGCTTGAAACAGCACACATGGGCTTGCTTTTATATGGTTCCTCGTCTTGTGTCTTTGTCTTTTCTTTCGATGTGGTACAAACAAAACCAGCCATCGACGACCGCGCACGAGCTAGAGACAGACAGCAATGGCGAGCTTCCTCCACATCTCTTCTCCAATTCTCTAGTCTTGATCAAGAACCTCTCTCTCTCTCTCTCACCCAATTCAAGGTGCTGCTTCCTCTCTTCATACATTTTAGTTTAACTTCATTAACTTTCCAGCTAAAACTTAATGTTTTATCAGGTGATGTTTGTTTAGCGGAAAATGGTATTTTAAAAATTATTTTTTAAATTTTTATGTATTTATTTGTTATTAAAAAAATTGATTAATAAAAAATATTTATCAATAAAAAAATTAATTTTATTTTCAGGAAAGTATTTTTTTTTTGGAAGTTATAAAAAATTTAGAAATATCAAAAAAAATTTTTATTTTTGACGGAAATTTTTTTTTAGAAGTTATAAAAAATTTAGAAATATCATATTATTTATTGATTATAATAAATTTAATTCTCAAACTTCTTATTGCTATATATTTTATTAATTTTTTATTAATTTTACTTTTTAGAATTTGATTTTTATATTAATTTTGATCTTCATTTTTATAATTGTTATTTGCTTCTCTCTTACTATTTTTTAATATAATTTTTTATTTATCAAATTTGATCTTTATTCTTTTGATTATTACTTATTTTATTTGAAATAATTTATAAAATTATAATTATAATTATTTTAATTTCATCATCTTTTAATTTTTTTTATCTGTTAAATTTGATCTCTATTATTTTGATTGTTATTTATTTTATTTAAGATAATTTATGAAATTAGATTTTTTTCAATATCATTGTCATTCAACTTTTTAATTTATAAGATTTGTTCCTCATTATTTTAATAAACTTGAAAAAAAATATCAATAGGTTATTTTCTAGCTTATTTTATATGACATAAACAAAACACTAAAAAATATTTTTTAACTTATTTTTCATGACATTATCAAACATTGAAAACTAATTCACTTTTCAGGAATTCACTTTCCAAAATAAAATTACTTTCCTGCCAACAAACAGAACCTGCCTTAGTACATGTTATTGTGATCAAACATTATTAAACTAAGAATTCTTGTTTAAATACTGCAACTCAAAATCACCAACTGAAACATCATACTTTTTTTAAAAAAATAAAATACTAAAATAGCTTAGTTTTCTATTCAAACAATATTTTTGCTATTTTGTCATTCACAATTTAAGCCTTATAAAATGCATTTAAGCATAATAAAATATTTTATATATGACACGTATGATATTACAAGATTGGAGGGGTAAATGAGTTTTTTTCAATTTTTATTATTCCAATGTAATGCTAATAATACCCTCATAAGTTGACTTCATTTGGCGGGATAGGTAATGGTGTTTTTGGTGTTTTCTTGTTCTATGAACAATGTAGTTACTTAAGTGTCATTTACTTCACATAATTTTTAGCTAAGATTGAGGGTTTTTTATGATATTTTTTTTATATTATTGTATGAGATCAAGAACAATTTAGTATTTACATAGAATAAATTAAAAAAAACACCTATTGGTGCACACTCTCCAGCATGCAATTTCTTTGGTCTTTTATGAAGTTTTATTTTTTTTTCAATTTGTCATTGGATCAATTATCTTATTTTTAATTTTTTTCATACTTGGTCCTCATTTTCTTAATTTTTATTTTTGTTTTGGATTCTTTTATGATTTTGATTTTTCTTTTTAATTTTTTCCTTCAATTCAAACTTTTATGGTATTTAAGGTTTGACCCTTAATGTTTTGATTCTTAGCCTTTTATCAAATTTTAATTTCATCCTTAGATTCATAATATTGATTTTTATTTTTATTTTTTTAGATTTGGTCCTTATTTTCTTGATTTTGCATTTTTTTTGGATTCGTTTGTTAATTTTCTTTCAAATTTGCCCTTCAATTCAATATTTCAATTTGTTTTTCAAATGAGTTCCTTATTCTCTTAATTGCTATTTTTATATTTTATCATTCAATATTTAATTTATTAGGATTTGGTTTCCATGACCTTTTTCCATTTTTATAGGCCCTATTTGAGAGTCAATCCAAAACAATTATTGGATCATGAGTTAGGTTGTGTTAATCTAAATCAACCGAATCCTTTTATTTTATAAAAAAAAGTTAAAATGATGCCATTTCAAAATAAAAAGTCAACGAGTTTTGGTCTTTTTTTATTGGATTTTTCTCTGACTAATTGAAACATAGATCAACCAGGGTTTTTGAATGTCTTACACTTGATCAATTCTCTCACAATTTTTTTTTAAACTTGACTTGGTATAAGTTATGGGTCACCTGGGTCATAGGTAAAGTTGTTGAGTCGAGTCAAGTTTTAAAATAATTATTTTTAAAATGTGATGTTTCCAGTTTAACTACTAGTTATGGTCCTGAGTTTAAAAAGTTAATACGGGTTGATATTATTTTTTTTATTTTATTTTCAATCAATTTCTCTGTGTCCCATGACCTAGGTGGAAGGTTTGTCCAGATAGTCGAGGTTTTTTTTTGTTATTGTTTTTTATCCCTTTTTATTATATTCTTTAAAATTCAATTCCTTTTAAATTTTTATTTTATTTTGTCTTGACTTCTATTAGATTATCATAACTGCATGGTCCTACTCGTGGGTTTTGACAACGTCACTTGGTTTTGTTGGTGTTTTATTTTTATGACTTTTATTTTTATTTTTTTCTCAATTTTATCCTTCAACATTATACTTTTTAGAATTGAAGATCATTATTTTTTTAGTTCTCTTTCTATGATGTCAAGCCTTTTTTTTTTGTTCTTTAAAATACAATGACAACTCTTGAACTTTTTTTTTTACTCTGTAAAAAATTTAACACAACTTGTGGTAAAACACAGATCATTTATCTAGTCTACTACAATTACAATTACTGATATATCACAATATTTTTGAATTACTTTTTTGAAGGAGTCTTATCACTATTATATTATCCTCATTCTCTTGATTTTTATTTTTGTTTTGGATTTTTTTTATGATTTTGATTTTTCTTTTTAATTTTTCCCTTCAATTCAAACTTTTATTGTATTTAAGGTTTGACCCTTAATGTTTTGATTCTTAGCCTTTTATCAAATTTTAATTTCATCCTTAAACCCATAATATTGATTTTTATTTTTATTTTTTTAGATTTGGTCCTTATTTTCTTGATTTTGCATTTTTTTTGGATTCGTTTGTTAATTTTCTTTCAAATTTGCCCTTCAATTCAAAATTTTAGTTTATTATTTCAATTTTTTTTTTCAAATGAGGTCCTTATTCTCTTAATTGCTTTTTTTATTTTTTATTTTTTTTATTTTATCATTTAATACTTGATTTATTAGAATTTGGTTTCCATGACTTTTTCCATTCTTTATATGCCCTATCTGAGAGTCAATCCGAGACAATTATTAGATCATGAGTTAACTTGTGTTAATTTAAGTAAACTAAATCCTTTTGTTTTATAAAAAAAATCAAAATGATGCAATTTAAAAAAAAAACAGTCAACGAGTTTTGGTCTTTTTTTATTGGATTTTTCTCTGACTAATTGAAACATAGATCAACCAGGGTTTTTGAATGTCTTACACTTGATCAATTCTCTCACAATTTTTTTTTAAACTTGACTTGGTATAATTTATGGGTCACCTAGGTTATAGGTAAAGTTGTTGAGTCAAGTCAAGTTTTAAAATAATTATTTTTAAAATGTGATGTTTCCAGTTTAACTACTAGTTATGGTCCTGAGTTTAAAAAGTTAATACGGGTTGATATTATTTTTTTTATTTTATTTTCAATCAATTTCTCTGTGTCCCATGACCTAGGTGGAAGGTTTGTCCAGATAGTCGAGGTTTTTTTTTGTTATTGTTTTTTATCCCTTTTTATTATATTCTTTAAAATTCAATTCCTTTTAAATTTTTATTTTATTTTGTCTTGACTTCTATTAGATTATCATAACTGCATGGTCCTACTCGTGGGTTTTGACAACGTCACTTGGTTTTGTTGGTGTTTTATTTTTATGACTTTTATTTTTATTTTTTTCTCAATTTTATCCTTCAACATTATACTTTTTAGAATTGAAGATCATTATTTTTTTAGTTCTCTTTCTATGATGTCAAGCCTTTTTTTTTTGTTCTTTAAAATACAATGACAACTCTTGAACTTTTTTTTTTACTCTGTAAAAAATTTAACACAACTTGTGGTAAAACACAGATCATTTATCTAGTCTACTACAATTACAATTACTGATATATCACAATATTTTTGAATTACTTTTTTGAAGGAGTCTTAT